GTTGAATAATAATAATATAATTATGTAGTAATGTAGTAATAATCTAATGTAATATAATGTAATAATAACATAATAATAATAATAATAATAATAATATATTTGGTTGAATAATATTGACAAGTTCTGTCTATCAAATCTTTAATTAAATTTTTTAAAATTTCTGAATTAGTTCTTCTATGTTATCGGTAAATTTAGCAAAAGTCGTATTAATTTTATGTTATTTTTCCGGAGTACTTTCGAATGTTGCTACATTCCTTTTTAAGAATTGAGTTTTGTGTACGAAACCGACTTCAAGTCACTCAAAATAACACCATTTAAACAGTCAAACTAGAATTTTTATGTATTTTTTTTAACCACCCCATTAATTTCTAGAAACCATTCTTTTTTTTTTTCGTCTCCAAACATTATTCATACGTTCATTCACACTCATTGTAAAGGACAGCATCGTCAAATATTCATTCATACTTTTTCGTCTCTAAACATCACTTGTTTATACATTGACGGAAGAAACAGCATATTCACTGATTCATTCATATTTTTTTTGTCGAGTATTCCGTGTTCATGAATGAAGTTATTTGCAAACGTAAAAATTTTCACGTTACGTGCTGCATCAAATAAATAATAAATAAATATTTTCATTATTACTAACTAATTAGAAAACAAATTTCATCTTTCAATCAAATACTTACCATTATATTTCCTCTTAATGTTTCCATAAAAAGAGAAAAATTAAACAGACGAAATTTTATATATAGTTTGCTTATACCCAATATTCATTTACGAGTTTATTTTTGGCGATAATTCCCCATTGTTTCGCCTGCTCGGTCTAACATTCTCTGTTGACATGAAGTGGAAAGATTATATTGAGTCAATTGCTAGGGGTGCTGACTCACCAGAATCTATCTTATATATTTATAAGTCTGCCATTAATCCATACATTAAATATTGCTGCCATATTTGGTCTGGTGCTCCTGCTATACATTTAAAAATCCTTGATAAAATCAAAAGAAGAATCACCAATATCATTAGTCCTGACCTGGCATTTCGGCTTCAGTCACTTTCCCACCATTGTAATGTAGCTTCCCTGTGCCTTTTCAAGAAATACTTCCATGGTAATTATTTTGATGAACATTCCTATATGGTACATAGACTTTAGGAATTTAATCGAAGTATTAGATTGGCCACAAGGTTTTATCATTTTACAATTGAATTGCAGAGATGTAACCGTAAGTTCTATGCTAGAAGTTTCTTCTTTTCCCACTCATAAAATCTTGATCTTCAAAAATTTAAATGCAATGACAGTCGTTATCTTCTATCATCTTAATTCTTCTCAAAATGAAATGTTTAACTAAATATAAAGATTTGGGGGAAGGATTTTTGAATAGAAAATTGTCAAAAATGTTTAAGAGTTTCCGAATTAATGAAATACCTCACCAAACTTATCAGATATTAATCCAATAGAAACGTATTTCTTCATTATTTGATTTTATTTATAAACAGAAGTAAAAAAAAATGTAGTTAGATTTTAGACGTTTTCAATTTAAGAACATTCATAAGTATCAAGTTGAAAATCATAATTAATTATGGTCATATAATTTATCTAATAAACAAAAGTCAGTAAATATTATTGTTAAATATTTTTATAATGTAATTATTACTTCTATTATTTTAGTAAGAGTAATTAATTTATGTATTATATATTTTTAATAATAGGTTTTGAATGTTCTTTTAACTTAAAAGAATTTTTTAATTATGTATGTTGGCTTAGGAAATGAGTATTTCTTTTAGGAACGCAGATATTTAAATAATTCCGGCAACAATTATATATTTTAGTAAGATTCGGTAGTGACACTTTCAAAAATATTACTACAAAGTAAGTTACATTCTCTTTAAAAAAAAAATGTGACATTCTTTACAAGTTGTGGTGGAACTTATTTATGTGTATGATCAATGCATTTGATAAAATGCAATGCATGAGATCCTTTTTGCGTTCATAGATAAGTGCTTTAAAATTTCTACAAGTTTCCTCAATATATTGTAAGGAACAATCGCTACAGTTTATTTTATATACACCTGCTTAAGAATAGTTATTGTTATATAAATTTTTGCTTCTGATCATATTCATAATAGTTTTAGATGTGGTTGTAAAAAAAATTATATTAAGATATTATATATATATGGGACGAGAGGGAGAGAGTGGGAGAGAAATTATGTTTTCAAATGAAGTTTACTTAGTTCTAGAACTAACTGCTACATTTTTCTGTTTCTGTGATGGTAACAACTGAAAATGGCTTAACATCTGCTTATTAACCTAATGTAGATGAACTGAAGTTTCACTCTTGTCAAATAAGAGAAGAACCTTAAGATTGTGAATGGACAGATGATGTGTGGCTGAAAGATAAAATCGGGATTTTCAAAACGAGTCTAGTTACCTGAATGCATAGTATGGGATACTGAAAGAGAAAATAGAAGCCTGATTTGAGAAAACAACAGTTACAAA